CTTGGTAAAAGTTTCCTTCTAACAAAAAGTTACTGGTACTTACATTTTTAAATTTGGACTGCTGAGGGTCAACTCTAAGTAATCTCATGTGCATTGGTGTCTACTTTGAATTTATTTGTGAAGTTTCTACTTTTTCTTGCTTTTGTCAGCTCGTTCCTCTGTCCCCTCGTTTTTTTTTTTGTCTAAGCCTCTTTTTCTTCCAGAGACATAGCAAGTGTTTGAACCTTACTTTTATATGACATTTCTTTGTTTAATTTTTTTTTGTTGCCCTTTTGAATTACATCTTTTGCTTCCAACGATCCCGCAAAAGATGTATGGCTTAAAACCTGCACTTATATTACAAAGGAGTACATAAGTAAATTTATTGCACCAGCTTATTGGCTGTACAATTTATGAAAGTATTATACATCACAGATTTTATTGTGTTAACTTGTAACAAAGTTACATATACACATAAGTGCATTGTTACACAAGTATATGTTTGGAAATTGTTCTCTTTCTAAATACAATTATCATTGCATGGAACTCTTATGTAGGCCATCCAGGATTCTAAACTTTGGAGAGCAGGGAAGTATGATGTCAATGATCTATCTCATTTTCAAATTGGCAAGTTTCTTTTCAAATTCTAAATATGCTGTTCTTATTGTGCAAATTGGTGTCTTAATTTGATCATTTGTAGTAATAATCAGGCTCACAGGGCTTTACATCTTTGCAGGCTTGGTGTTATATCTAGTCACCTTATCTGTGCTCAAGCTTTGTACTGTCAAAGCAGTTGTTTCACTTCTTTTTAACATGGCTCCACCCAAGAAAACCTCTTAGCCCCATCAACTGTTATTTGGGGTCTAAATCCAATTTTCTGTCATTGATCTTTATGTGACTATCTTTTCTGAGAGATGTTGAGGTCAGCTGAGAGATTTTACTGAACATTTTTAAGACGTTTGTTAACTATATAGTATTTTCTGATAGTGTTTATTTGTTTTGAGTATTACGCTGGAGCATGTTAACATAATTTTCTCTATACAAACTTCTAGGAGAAAAGAATAAGAAAACAGATAAAGTGAGTTATTCATTAATTAAAAATATTTTCTACATAATCTAACTTGTAAATAGTCACTTATATAATTTCACTAAATTTTATTTTTTAAACTTGGTTTTTAAGGTAATTTTAAATAAGTGTACTTCATCTTTGGAAAAGTTTGTGAAAATATTGGCTTAGAACGTCTCACACAAAATATTGTTAAAAAGAAATGCATAATTTAAAATGTTTTTTTTTTTCATATCTGCTATGATGCAACAGTTACAATAATGAGTGCAGTGGCAACAAAAGTTTGAAAGAGGTATTTTAATATTTGGTATTAGTAGGGAAATGCAATTAATAAGGTGTTAATGTAATTTACTCTAAAGCCGAGTTAACATGGTTCACAAGACTTTTGTATAACAAAAAAAATTGGATAAAAATGTTATTTCAATCAATTTTAGAGGGTTTTGTGGGAGATAACTCTTAAAAAAAAACTTTTTGGCTATCAATCTGAAAATAATTCTTTGATTATCTTATTAAATTCATAGATGATGGTGCAGACATCTGTTTAAAGTCTTCAAAAATTAAGTGTAAAAATAGATTAACAATAATTTATTTAAATATGTTAGACTTATTTATAATTAGAAGTATACGGATTAATTTATTAGGGATTGAACTTAAAAATGTATTAGTTCAACCTAACTTATATTTTGATAAATTATATATTTTTTAATCTGTCTGATTTTATCATGGATCAATAATTTGAATGAATTAACTCATTTAAAATTTTTTTGTTCTTTTAATTTATTTTATATTATAAGACAATTAACAGTAAATAATTATAATAAAAATTTATAAAATTGAAAAAATAAAATAAAAAAGGATTGTTTTCAGAGATACAAACAACTCACTTTCATATAAATTACATTTTTAATATCTGAAATTTGGAATAATGTGAATTTAGTGTCTCGAATTGAAAAAAATATCTTTTTAATTTCTCGAAAATTGAAAAAAAAAATATTTTAGTTTTTAAACTATAAATTTAAGAAATTAAAATAGATTTAATATCTAGAATTTAAAATTGTTTATTCCTTCATTTAATATTTAAGCACTAAAACTATATATATAATGTTAGTGATTATATATATAATTTAGCGCTTAAATATAAAACTTAAGAAATTATAATGAACTTTAAACCTAGACCTAAAATTCTAAATCTCAGATGAGAAAAAACATAATTAAATAAATTTTCAATTTTGAGAAAAAACAGTGTTTAAATCGGAGGATCAAAAGAGAGTTAAATTCCAAATCTCAGATGAGAAACATAATTAATCTATATTTTAAAACTTGATATTGTTTTTGAACTACTTCTATATGATTATGATCTTCAAAATATGATTTGTATATGATTATCATCTTCAAAATGTGACAGTTTTTATAAAGTTCGACCAAGAACTGGGAGGGGAAGTAAGAAATGGTTGCATTTTGAAGAATGAAAATAATTGCATTTCATTAGAAGTCATATTCTGTTCTTTATTATGGAACAATAATTGCATGTTTTTCTCCCTAAAATGACTGAGATACGTGTTTAATAATGTGCACGAACATTGCTAACTTTGTCTCACAAGTAATTAAAAATAAAGGAACACTGATACATATGATTCACTTTTTCTCAAGTAGTCATCTGAACATTGTAATACGAACTTAACAAAACACGTAAATACGTATTTTCTTTACTATTCATTAGCAAAAGATTCTCACATAAAAATTTCCAACATAGCTTAAAAGCCTGTGCAGTAATAACACAGCAATACTGAATCATGTCTAGAAAAAGGAACATTGAAAAGAAGGCACGCAAGTGTATATGGCTACATTCTATGAGATGCAACATTCTTGAAACGCATGAAGCTAAAGTTGAGCCTTCCAAAGGTAGTAGCATATGAAATGAACAAGAGTATTGCAAGTATGGGAGACAACATGAGGAGAAACTGCAAGTAAATGACTGTGTAATTTGAGAGCCACAACAAGCTGAAAACAATGCCAAATATGACAACCAAATGAAAATTTGGAGAAGTTGAGGAAACAGTAGTGGCCATGGTGTTTGTGTTTTTGGGAGAGAACCATCCCATTTTCACTCTCTTGTTTGTTTCTCACTCCACAACATCATAAGCACATCATAAGAACATCAAAGGTTTATATAAGAGTTTATGAGGTTCTGTTGTTGCTGCAGATATTTGAGTGGTTTTGGCACATATTCTTTGAGTGTCACTTTTATCTGTTCAGTAATATCTTTTCCTTTTTTTGTTCTTGCAAGTTTTTCCTGCCATGACTATTTTGTTGATGAACAATGGATTATCATGATTTCCACATTTCTACACACCCAAAGGCTTCAAAAGGGGACTTCTTTTCCAAGTGAATCTTTAACTTACTTCTTCTCATCACTCTGCACTTTCACAACAAAAAGAAAAAGTGAAACTTTACTTTTCTCTTGTCTTTCCTAACAAGATTAGTCAAAATTTGTGTTACCTTTATACATTAACATTGATATAAACTGTTTAGAACGACATTCAGGGAAGCGAGTGATATTTTAAAAAATGTTACATCTCTTCAATTCATTCTCAAAAGATAAAACTAATATTAGGTAATAATTCGTGATTTGTTCTTTTTAATTTGTACGAGAAACCTATCATATTTTCTAGCGACAAAATATCAAACACAACAAATATTAGAATTAATTTACGAATTAATTTTATTATGTAATTAAAATATTATAATGGATCAAATGTGATTTAGTATAATATAAGAATTTATTAGTTATTATGAAAACTTATAACAAAATAAAATAAAGATAAAATAAAAGTTAACTTGATAGATATTACATTATAAAAGGAATTAAAGTTATGTTATTAGCTATAAGGTTCTTTCAAAGAAAGCTATAAAAAAAGTGATAAGAAAAACATAAAAGTAAAGAGATAAATTGAAAAACAAACAAGAACGTATTTTTCTATTGGGTCTCTTATACATTAATATTAATATTCTTTTATATTTTATGTATTTTAATACTTCAGAACCATGACNGTCCCATGTCGACTAGAATAAGACTAATTTAGAATATATATATGTGGGTGCAAACCTCCCTTTACAAGCTGATTTTGTGGAGTTAAATTAGGTTTAAAGTCCACTTCTTGACTATCAGAGCTATGATTTAGAGTCTATCCTAACGAAATTTGTGTTTGTTGGACATTCATTCCACTAGCTGTTAGACTGGATCACCCATTAATTTCTAGTCTCATGCACAAGATGTATATATCTCGGCGTGAAGGGCTGTGTTGGATCGGTTTTGTGGGGTTGAGTTTCCATTTCTTAACCAATACAATTGAAAAAGGGGATGGGTATGGCAGCTCAATATAACGGGTTTCTTGCCTGGGTAACATGATGTTGTTTGAGATCTTTAGATAGAAGGCTTTCTTACTGAAATTTCTGGATATGCAGTTCTCTACTAATTGATTATGTTCTTTCCTTTTAAAAGAAAACATTTTAAAAAGTTCGCCTTGCTTTGATTCGTGAGTTACAGCTCTACAGGACATGTATATTTTCCTACACTGGACTAGACTTGACAAAATTATCAAAGCAATTTTATTAACTCGAATATGGGCGTATGCTTTTATTAATGAAAAACATTTATTAACTTTTATGTGTACTCATGCACTAATGTAGTTGAACTTTTTTTGGGTGGCTATTCAAACTACACAGTTCATAATGAGTGTTTTTATGGAGTAAAGGATTCATGTTATGAAATTGTAATGCTTGTGAGCCAGAAGTTCTATACGTCATTCTCAACTTTCTAAATCCTAGTTCATAGCCATGTCAAACTGTTGTTTCTGATTGCACATGCTGACTCTAACTATTCCTGGAGAATCTGTATTCTCTAATTGTTGACATCTTTTGGTTTTGTCTAATATATGTTAAAATTTGAAATTGTTCCCTGCAGGCTGCGTTGCTATTTATAGGATCAATATTTGCATATTTTCCAGGAATAGAAGCAGATACTCCAAACACAGTGGCCTATTCGTCTGTTTTTGTTAGTGTTGTTTCACTAATCATTGGGAATATAGGTTGGTATATGGCTAAAGCCAGAGTTATTTTTTGTTTCCTATGTATCATATCAAGCTTTTTATCTGAACCTTTTAAGTAAGCCATCTCTAAATTTTGTGACAGGCAGAAGACGCAGTCGACCTGGTTTATTGAGATTTTATGCTATCGTATCCTCCATTGCAATGCTTCTCTTGGATGTTTCTCTTGCAAAGAAACATCTGCTGCTAAAGGTAAATATCTTAGTGTTTCACCCGCGATTTTTTAACAAAAACTTCATTAACTATGAAGAAAGAAACATGCCAACTAAGAAGTAAACATCTTGGTTGAAACTAAATTCTAATTTGTTCTTGATAACGTCAGTTCTAGCTGGTTCTTGTTTTTTGGTAATAATTCTTATTCTTGTTAATATTAGTCATCTTCATCATTGCATGGGGATTCAAACCAGTCGTGTTCAACAAGTATTTCAAATTTGGGGTATCTATTTCACGTATTTAATAATATTCCTGTGATTACTTTTACTGGGAATATGATTCCCATCAAAGATATTTTGTAAGTATGTGTGATTAGTTGGGATATTTTTAATTTTATTCTAATTAAAAAAAGGTATTATAAAGTGACACCGGGAAGTTATTTTAGAAAATAATTTACATTCTACACGAGGATAAGAAAAAACGGAAAGCGTGTGTAATATGGATTCCTGGGAATGATTAATGTTTCGAACTAATTTTTATAACTTTTACCAAATATGAAAATGTTACATCCCACTAATATTTCTGGGAATAATTTTGTAAGACTTGAAACAAACACAGTAGTCTTGGTAAAAGTTTCCTTCTAACAAAAAGTTACTGGTACTTACATTTTTAAATTTGGACTGCTGAGGGTCAACTCTAAGTAATCTCATGTGCATTGGTGTCTACTTTGAATTTATTTGTGAAGTTTCTACTTTTTCTTGCTTTTGTCAGCTCGTTCCTCTGTCCCCTCGTTTTTTTTTTTGTCTAAGCCTCTTTTTCTTCCAGAGACATAGCAAGTGTTTGAACCTTACTTTTATATGACATTTCTTTGTTTAATTTTTTTTTGTTGCCCTTTTGAATTACATCTTTTGCTTCCAACGATCCCGCAAAAGATGTATGGCTTAAAACCTGCACTTATATTACAAAGGAGTACATAAGTAAATTTATTGCACCAGCTTATTGGCTGTACAATTTATGAAAGTATTATACATCACAGATTTTATTGTGTTAACTTGTAACAAAGTTACATATACACATAAGTGCATTGTTACACAAGTATATGTTTGGAAATTGTTCTCTTTCTAAATACAATTATCATTGCATGGAACTCTTATGTAGGCCATCCAGGATTCTAAACTTTGGAGAGCAGGGAAGTATGATGTCAATGATCTATCTCATTTTCAAATTGGCAAGTTTCTTTTCAAATTCTAAATATGCTGTTCTTATTGTGCAAATTGGTGTCTTAATTTGATCATTTGTAGTAATAATCAGGCTCACAGGGCTTTACATCTTTGCAGGCTTGGTGTTATATCTAGTCACCTTATCTGTGCTCAAGCTTTGTACTGTCAAAGCAGTTGTTTCACTTCTTTTTAACATGGCTCCACCCAAGAAAACCTCTTAGCCCCATCAACTGTTATTTGGGGTCTAAATCCAATTTTCTGTCATTGATCTTTATGTGACTATCTTTTCTGAGAGATGTTGAGGTCAGCTGAGAGATATTACTGAACATTTTTAAGACGTTTGTTAACTATATAGTATTTTCTGATAGTGTTTATTTGTTTTGAGTATTACGCTGGAGCATGTTAACATAATTTTCTCTATACAAACTTCTAGGAGAAAAGAATAAGAAAACAGATAAAGTGAGTTATTCATTAATTAAAAATATTTTCTACATAATCTAACTTGTAAATAGTCACTTATATAATTTCACTAAATTTTATTTTTTAAACTTGGTTTTTAAGGTAATTTTAAATAAGTGTACTTCATCTTTGGAAAAGTTTGTGAAAATATTGGCTTAGAACGTCTCACACAAAATATTGTTAAAAAGAAATGCATAATTTAAAATGTTTTTTTTTTTCATATCTGCTATGATGCAACAGTTACAATAATGAGTGCAGTGGCAACAAAAGTTTGAAAGAGGTATTTTAATATTTGGTATTAGTAGGGAAATGCAATTAATAAGGTGTTAATGTAATTTACTCTAAAGCCGAGTTAACATGGTTCACAAGACTTTTGTATAACAAAAAAAATTGGATAAAAATGTTATTTCAATCAATTTTAGAGGGTTTTGTGGGAGATAACTCTTAAAAAAAAACTTTTTGGCTATCAATCTGAAAATAATTCTTTGATTATCTTATTAAATTCATAGATGATGGTGCAGACATCTGTTTAAAGTCTTCAAAAATTAAGTGTAAAAATAGATTAACAATAATTTATTTAAATATGTTAGACTTATTTATAATTAGAAGTATACGGATTAATTTATTAGGGATTGAACTTAAAAATGTATTAGTTCAACCTAACTTATATTTTGATAAATTATATATTTTTTAATCTGTCTGATTTTATCATGGATCAATAATTTGAATGAATTAACTCATTTAAAATTTTTTTGTTCTTTTAATTTATTTTATATTATAAGACAATTAACAGTAAATAATTATAATAAAAATTTATAAAATTGAAAAAATAAAATAAAAAAGGATTGTTTTCAGAGATACAAACAACTCACTTTCATATAAATTACATTTTTAATATCTGAAATTTGGAATAATGTGAATTTAGTGTCTCGAATTGAAAAAAATATCTTTTTAATTTCTCGAAAATTGAAAAAAAAAATATTTTAGTTTTTAAACTATAAATTTAAGAAATTAAAATAGATTTAATATCTAGAATTTAAAATTGTTTATTCCTTCATTTAATATTTAAGCACTAAAACTATATATATAATGTTAGTGATTATATATATAATTTAGCGCTTAAATATAAAACTTAAGAAATTATAATGAACTTTAAACCTAGACCTAAAATTCTAAATCTCAGATGAGAAAAAACATAATTAAATAAATTTTCAATTTTGAGAAAAAACAGTGTTTAAATCGGAGGATCAAAAGAGAGTTAAATTCCAAATCTCAGATGAGAAACATAATTAATCTATATTTTAAAACTTGATATTGTTTTTGAACTACTTCTATATGATTATGATCTTCAAAATATGATTTGTATATGATTATCATCTTCAAAATGTGACAGTTTTTATAAAGTTCGACCAAGAACTGGGAGGGGAAGTAAGAAATGGTTGCATTTTGAAGAATGAAAATAATTGCATTTCATTAGAAGTCATATTCTGTTCTTTATTATGGAACAATAATTGCATGTTTTTCTCCCTAAAATGACTGAGATACGTGTTTAATAATGTGCACGAACATTGCTAACTTTGTCTCACAAGTAATTAAAAATAAAGGAACACTGATACATATGATTCACTTTTTCTCAAGTAGTCATCTGAACATTGTAATACGAACTTAACAAAACACGTAAATACGTATTTTCTTTACTATTCATTAGCAAAAGATTCTCACATAAAAATTTCCAACATAGCTTAAAAGCCTGTGCAGTAATAACACAGCAATACTGAATCATGTCTAGAAAAAGGAACATTGAAAAGAAGGCACGCAAGTGTATATGGCTACATTCTATGAGATGCAACATTCTTGAAACGCATGAAGCTAAAGTTGAGCCTTCCAAAGGTAGTAGCATATGAAATGAACAAGAGTATTGCAAGTATGGGAGACAACATGAGGAGAAACTGCAAGTAAATGACTGTGTAATTTGAGAGCCACAACAAGCTGAAAACAATGCCAAATATGACAACCAAATGAAAATTTGGAGAAGTTGAGGAAACAGTAGTGGCCATGGTGTTTGTGTTTTTGGGAGAGAACCATCCCATTTTCACTCTCTTGTTTGTTTCTCACTCCACAACATCATAAGCACATCATAAGAACATCAAAGGTTTATATAAGAGTTTATGAGGTTCTGTTGTTGCTGCAGATATTTGAGTGGTTTTGGCACATATTCTTTGAGTGTCACTTTTATCTGTTCAGTAATATCTTTTCCTTTTGTTCTTGCAAGTTTTTCCTGCCATGATTATTTTGTTGATGAACAATGGATTATCATGATTTCCACATTTCTACACACCCAAAGGCTTCAAAAGGGGACTTCTTTTCCAAGTGAATCTTTAACTTACTTCTTCTCATCACTCTGCACTTTCACAACAAAAAGAAAAAGTGAAACTTTACTTTTCTCTTGTCTTTCCTAACAAGATTAGTCAAAATTTGTGTTACCTTTATACATTAACATTGATATAAACTGTTTAGAACGACATTCAGGGAAGCGAGTGATATTTTAAAAAATGTTACATCTCTTCAATTCATTCTCAAAAGATAAAACTAATATTAGGCAATAATTCGTGATTTGTTCTTTTTAATTTGTACGAGAAACCTATCATATTTTCTAGCGACAAAATATCAAACACAACAAATATTAGAATTAATTTACGAATTAATTTTATTATGTAATTAAAATATTATAATGGATCAAATGTGATTTAGTATAATATAAGAATTTATTAGTTATTATGAAAACTTATAACAAAATAAAATAAAGATAAAATAAAAGTTAACTTGATAGATATTACATTATAAAAGGAATTAAAGTTATGTTATTAGCTATAAGGTTCTTTAAAAGAAAGCTCACTAGTACAATATTGGCTTTTAAATTCGCATATTATGCTTCATTTGACAGCAAACCGCTGCCTATCATAAGGCGGTGGCAGATTTGTAATAAAACCGATTTTATATAATTCGGTTGTACGATCAACCGGTGCAAAACCAAGATACAATCTCGGTTGCACACAAAACCAAAGCATAACCAGTGCCTAAAGGACTGACAATTGTACGAAAAGATGATACTACCTCGGTTGCTTATAGACTCGAGGTAGAAAGCCTGACCTACGAACTCGGTGAACTTAGACCCGAGGCATAAAGCCTGAAAAAAACAATCTTCGCTTCATTTCTTCTCGCGCTGATGGTTCTCCTTCTTCTTCTTTCTCTGCGCGCTGCCACTGCTATTCATTTCTTCGTTGCTGTTCATTGCTTCATCTTTCACTTAAAGCTTGGTTGTTTTCATTGCTTCTTCGGTTCTTCTTCTTCGCGCTGCTGCTTAGTCTTTGCCGCCACCACTGTTGTTCTCCCCAAGGGTTGCCTCCACTAACGTCGTCGCTGCGAGTCCTTCGTCGGTGTCGTTCGCTTCGTCCTTGCCGCTCTCACCTTCGTGGCCGTTATTGCCGTCGTCTACTGTCATCGTCGTCGCGCCATGGAACCCTAAATCAGAAAATCCCAATCGGCCACCATCGTGCTTTTCTCCCCCAACGGCGAGTGGGTCGCCTCCGCCTCGGCCACCATCGCACGTTTCTCCCCCAATGGTGAGTGGGTCGCCTCCGCCTCGGCCACCATCGCGCGTTTCTCCCCCAACAGCGAGTGGGTCGCCTCCGCCGATGCCACCGGTACCGTCAGGATCTGGGACACGCCGATGCCTCCAAAGCTTCTCTTTTGTTGATGATGTCTTTTGTTGATGATGTTGTATACTGTGCAATGAAGGTGCGATGAAGCTTCTCTGTGTGTTGTGTATCGGTTTGTGGTGTATTGCTTTGTGGTGTATGTTGGAATTTCTGATATGTTGTTGTCTGTTGTTGTTCTTCCTTGGCGATGAAACAGGCTTATTGGGTGGTTGTTTACTAGCTCTGGATGGCTGTTTACCAACTCTGGAAACATCAGCAAGATCATTCACAGTGAATCAACACACACCTTGTTGCAATGGAAAGCTGAGAAGAATGAATTCAGTGCAATCCTGGAGACTCTGCACAGAGGAGCTAAACATAGT